AAGCCTCTCGGCAGCCGGCAGGCCTGTTGCGGGCTCTCTGTGGCCTGCCGCCTCTCTTCTTATGGGCTTCCGAAGGCGACGTTAGGCATTTTGGACCGCCCCCAAACCCCTCTCGGCAGCTGGCAGGCCTGCCTCTTCTCTTGGCCTGTCCCAGGCCTGCCTCTTCTTTCTTATGGCAGGCCTGCCAGCAACGTTAGGCCTTTTGGACCGCCCCCAAACTCCTCTCGGCAGCTGGCTGGCAGGCCTGCCTCTCTCTTCTTATGGGCTTCCGAGAGCAACGTTAGCCATTGTGGACCGCCCCCAAACCCCTCTCGGCAGCTGGCAGGCCTGCCTCTCGGCAGCCGGCAGGCCTGTTGTGGCCTCTCTGTGGCCTGTCCGAAGCAGCCTTCTCTCTTCTTATGGGCTTCCGAAGGCGACGTTAGGCATTTTGGACCGCCCCCAAACCCCTCTCGGCAGCTGGCAGGCCTGCCTCTTCTCTTGGCCTGTCCCAGGCCTGCCTCTTCTTTCTTATAGCAGGCCTGCCAGCAACGTTAGGCCTTTTGGACCGCCCCCAAACCCCTCTCGGCAGCTGGCAGGCCTGCCTCTTCTCTTGGCCTGTCCCAGGCCTGCCTCTTCTCTTCTTATGGGCTTCGATCCGAAAGCAACGTTAGGCATTGTGGACCGCCCCCGAACCCCTCTCGGCAGCTGGCGGGCCTGCCTCTCTCTTCTTATGGCTTCCGAAAGCAACGTTACGCATTGTGGACCGCCCCCAAACCCTTCTCGGCAGCTGGCAGGCCTGCCAGCAACGTTAGGCATTTTGGACCGCCCCCCAAACCCTTCTCGGCAGCTGGCAGGCCTGCCTCTTCTCTTCTTATGGGCTTCCGAAAGCAACGTTACGCATTTTGGACGGCCCTCAAACACTTCTCGGCAGCTGGCAGGCCTGCCTCTTCTCTTCTTATGGGTTTCCGAAAGCAACATTATAGCCATTTTGGACCGCCCTCAAACCCTTCTCCGCAGCTGGCAGCGCCGTTGCCCAGGCTCCAAACACCTTCCCGGGACCCTTGGCTGCACATTCCTGCACCGCAGCCTTGCCTGCGAAAGCCGGTGTTATTCATGGTCGCTTTCTATTTCGTCGTGTCGTGCTTGCTCTCCGGAACTAGCCAGCTCTTTGTCGGGCATTGTTTTCCTGAAGGTGTGTTGTGTGTGGCCTGAATGCGCCCAAAGAGCAGTGTTGACCAGACCACACTGTGGCATGCGGGGCACCTTTGCGGATGCTGGCGTGTCTGCGCGCTAACAGCCCAGACAGCCCAAAACCCTCTAAATGAAAACCCCTTAAATTTAGAACCTCTAATTAAGGTGAAAACCTTCTAATTAAGGTCTTTTCAATAGACCTTAATTAGAGGGTTTTCAAGGGTATGTTTTTCTACATAACAAATATAGTTTTCTTGTTGATAATGACTCATAGGAGCTCCTTGTGTCATGTCAGGAGCTCCTTGCTGTGAGCTGTGCAAGTTTGTGTGGAATTTGTGTTTGGCCAGGCCAAGGAATACATGTTGCAGCCTTTTCTTTCCCAAGCTTTAGGCCAGCTGTGTGTCACCATGTCTGGCCAAGGGAAACTTGGCAGAGCATCCACTTCCTGCAGCCAGGAAGATGTCAACAAGCTCCTAAGGGAGAGGGAGGTGGCTACAAAGACACGAACTTTGCCATGGTGGTAGCTTCCTATGAGAGTTTTTTGCTGGCCTTGCTGTCAAAGACACCCAGGGTCAACAGAACTCTTTTGCAGACTGCTGTCTTGAAGACCTTTGAGGGCACCAGTGTGGATGAAGCGAAATATTTTAGCAGGCAACTGGCTTCTGCTTTGGTTGAACGCAGAAGTAAAAAAAGAGCACCACCAGTGGTGCCAAAACCCATCCTGCTGTCAAAAGGGTGATGGATGCCATGTCTAAATGGGATCACCTGGAGCCTTCCAGTCACCAAGTTGCTGCTCCCAAGCGTTCATTCTCCCAAGCTTCTTTGCCTGTGGCAGCGGCTGCTCAGTCTGCCAGCAGCAGCAAAGCTGAAGCTAGCAGCAGTAGCAAAGTGAATCCCTATGAGCTTTATGGAGTGAGCCCACCTTCCAAAAGGAGAGCCATGAAATCCCAAGTGTTTGCAGTGGATTATTCTTCTCAGGAGGGGAATGCCCCTCCTGTTGCAGACATGGAAGTAGCTCCTGAACACGAGAATGGAGACACTGCTGCTGTGCTTTTGCAATTCTTCGACCAGGAGAAGGGTGTCATGAAGAGGCAGCTAGCCAATGGTGAGACATTGGAAGCCCAATGTGTTCCTGGGGACAAAGGCTTTTTGCTGTACCAATTTGGTGTGAGTCAGATACTCCCAACCTGGCATTGCACATTGTTTCCAAACCGATGAAAAGGCCAGCCTCTGCAGCTTTGAAGAAACCTGCAGCATCCTTGGCCCTGCACGAGCCTGAGGCAGTTGCAGAACCTGCAGCCTCTGTGTCAAATGAGGTGCACCTGTATCTTGATAGTCAAAAGCTGCAGTGATGCTTATCAAAATGCAGAATGTCTGTTTGCAATGAAAAGTCTTTGGCAGCTACCAAAATCTTTGGCAGAGAATGCACTAATGAAGAAACCAAGAAAAAGCTGTTGGAAATGATATTTGAAATGCACTGTTTCCAAAAGGAATGTAGTGCACAATCCTCAAACCTTGTGTTGTTCACCTAAAATCTTATCAAACTAGCTCATGGCCACAAACATGTATATATTTAACTTCATTTAACTTCATTTAACTTGGAAAATGAAAGCATTTCCAATTAAATTGTGAAAACCAGCCCAAGTTAAATTAACTTCATTTAACTTAGCCATTTAGTTGCAAATGCTTTCATTTTCCAAGTTAAATTAACTTCATTTAACTTACCATAAGTTAAATTAACTTCATTTAACTTACCAAAATGAAAGCATTTCCAATTAAATGTATAAGTTAAATGAAGTTAAATAGACCAAGTTAAATGAAGTTAAATGAAGTTAAATGGTTGGTCTTTGTAGAAGCCCTAAATTATTTATATACCTCCTAATCCCAGGAGGTTTTTTTTAACATATCAACCATTGATTATTGACCTCCTAGTTCAGGAGGTATTTTTTTTTGTAGCTCCTGCCCAACAAGGAGCTTTATCATCCATCCCCACCCACTGAGCAGCAAAGCAACACCTTTTTTTTCAAGCTGAGATGGCTTTGGAAGATATGTGAGAAGATATTCAGTTCTCAGTATCTTTGGCCCCAGGCTCTGGCTTGGGCTCCTCATTGGGAGATTCCTCAACCTCATTGGCAGCCTCATTGGGAGCTTCAGGAAGGACGCCCCCCCCATTGGGAACTTCTGCGGTGGCAGCAGCAGCTGGTGCAGGCACTTCTTCCGGTTTTGGCACAGCAGGAGAAGGGCCACCACCTCCTATGCATACATGAGCATTGACCATGAATATCTTATTTACCATAAACCTAGTGATTCATATTTTATTTCTCTATGTATGACCTTTAGCCTCTGTCTTTGTCCTGTTGTCAGAGAAGCTGCCTGGGAACAATGTGGACCAGAGGTGCAAAGCTTTGCATGTCAGTATGAAGAACTACTACAAGGAGTATGCCATTGATTCCCAAATGCCTTTGCTGAAGGCTTCCATGCTTTACAAAGACAAGAAAAAAGTCTTCCAGTTCTACTTCTCCTAAGTTGAGAGCCAAAGCAGGAGAGGCAAAAGGCTTGATTTTGTTTTCTTTGTTGCAATGCACAGTATTGCTCAACAATGCAGATTCTTTTGAAGCTGCAGTCATCCAATGTGCCCAACATTTGCACAATTGCTACCAGCAATTGAGCCAGCAAGTGTTTGAACCAAGTGCTTTGCACAGAGAAGCTTTGAAGTTTGCTGCTTTGTATGTCACCTTGAACCAAATTTCTGTCCAGCAAGGTCGACAACTTTTCAAGGTTACCCCAAAACTACATTTGTTCTTGGAACTGACATTTGACCCCAAAGCCTCCCCATCCACTGGGTGGACCTACAGAGATGAGGATTGGGGAGGGCAAATGTCAGAACTTGCTAGAAGGCGAGGAGGTAACCTCAGTTGCTTGGCTGTGGCACAAGGCATGTTCCATAAGTTTGCAGCCTTGCACCAGGTCCCTTCGCTTTGAGAAAAAAGGTGCTGCAGCTGCTGGGTTGGGATGGGGTAACAGGAGAAGTCTCCTTTGCAGGAGGCTTCTCCTTCAAACAGACAATATACAACTAATATGATAAAAATATACAATGCTCCTTCATGTAGGAGGCACCTCCTTTAGTGGAACAGGAGGTTTCACCAGATTAAACATTTCAGCTAAACATGTGTTTGACATGTTTTTCCCACCAATCATGAGCCATCAAAACCCCTTATTTAAGGGTTGTATGTTTTTAGCACCAAAACCCTTTATTTAAAGGATTATACCTTTTTTAAGGGACCAAAGACCTCTAATTAAGGTGTAAAGACCTTTAATTAAAGGACTAACCTTTAAATAGAGGTTGTTTTTTAAGGGCTTTACCTTAATTAGAGGGTTTTCCCTTAATTAGAGGTCTTTGGGCTCTCTGGGAGTGCCTTCTTTGACGTAAAACCGGTTGCCGCACACGGTTCGGTGATCTATTTGCCCTGTTTTCAGCTTGCTCGCAACGTGCCCTTTGCAAAATGGACAAACATAGTTACACTTCCTGGCGGCTACGTCGCCGTCTTTCACACGAAAACGATGCCCGCACGCACGGCGGTGATCTATTCGGCCTGTGCGCACGCTGCTGCTCACCGACGCCTCACAAACAGGACATGCATATTGGAACATTTCCTTCGCGGCCTTCCGTCCAGGTAACTTTGCCGGCGCTGCGTTTGTTTCCTGCGCGGCTGTCGCCGTGGCCTGCGTCTCTTCTTGCGGTCTTGCCGGCGAGTCTGCGCGTTGCTCGTCTTGCGTTGTAGGCCAGCCCTCTGTAAGAGTGTTTCGTTGTGGCGCCGGCACTGTCCTGGCGTTGGTGTTTGTGCCCGTTTGGGTTTCGGTTGGAGCCAGACCCTTGTCACTTTCGTGTTCCCTTTTCCGTTTGTGGTCTGTGCGCACTTGGCTGCTCACCGACACGGTTTTTGCACGCTTCCCTACAGGCACTGCCTGTGCTGCTTGCGTTGTCTGTGTGCGGGGCTGGGTCTTGGTGGGCGTCGGCTGTGCTTGCTTGTCTTGTTGTGGTTCCATGTGTCTTTTGCGCGACGGCATGGTGTCTGTTGAGACACTTTCTGCTTCAAGTTCCGTCTTGCTTTGGGCCATCTGCCTTTCTTTTCTCCGGTTCGGCTCCTGCACCCGGGGAAAGAGCACCTCATCCTCGTCTAGCTTCTGTCGCACGCGGTCAGCGATCTCTTCCCGTACAAGACCTATGACTTGCTGTCTCTTTTCTTCGGCTACTTTCGTCCGCGTAGCAGCCAGGCGCCGTATGGCTCTATGAGAGACACTTCGTGGCAACTGCTGCCCGTGGCAGCTGTAGACCCGTGCATCCGCCCGGGCAGGCCGTCCTCTGCACCGCGCACGGCTGTTGTTTGCGCGCTGCGCTGCTGCGCGCTTGGGATTACTTTGGCCAGTGGATTACTCAGGGATTACTTTGGCGAGTGTGCTGTGGAAGAGCTAAGTTGCGCTACTCAGGGATCACTTTGG